ATATCCGGCTTGACGGCTTATTGAACGTCGATTGATTGTCCTCTATTGATCCCCCGAATGGGAAAGGTCGGCTGGCAGATGATGTCACCCGGTATGTACTCACTGAGGAAGCCCTATTGCTGGTTATCTAGTCAATGGCCAATCGCTTCACCATCGTTTCTTTTGATCATTGACTTTCTTATAGGCACTAATTTAATAATTATATCTGTTATATGACGGGCCGCTCTAGTTTTCGGCTGCAGATCCGCGAAGCCAAGTTTATTCTGCAGGAACTATACGACAACTGCCCATACAGGATGTAACTGGGTCGACTGCAGCAACCCGAATAAACGGCCTAGAGGGTCTGGATTGTCGTTCTGTCTACTCTATTTCAAATGTGAATCATTCTATACAAGCAGGACGTATAGTGGAAGCCCATGTTTCAGCTGCTTCTGCGTGGAACACCCTCTTCCTATTTCTTACGCTTCGTCTCAATAAGACATCTGTCTCTGAAGGCCTCTCAATTATCGTGTTTCTCCTTCAGTGCCCATACTTCTTTCCACACGATGCCCCCCTTTCCTTCGTGCCGAGCTCATATCCTTCTCAGTTAGTCCAGTGGCTCTGGAAGTCATTTTGCCTACCACCTAACGACTGAGACGTCTATCACTTAACACCAACAGTTCGCTTTTATCAGATCGCACGATTGTACTTGTATCAAAATTATGTCGGCTTCAAGCACTGCTCCCTATGCCCAGGCGGTGATTATTCCATCGCTTTCTATCCTATGCATTCTGCTGACCATCCCTCCGTTGATCTTGCATTGGAAGAATAGGAATTTTCCTGTCGTTTCCCTCATATGCTGGCTCTTATGTCTGAACTTGTTCAACATTATTAATGCATTCATTTGGCCTAATGATGATATGGATAGTTGGTGGGATGGCGCCGGTCTTTGTGATGTGGAAGTCAAGGTGATGATTGCCAGCTATGTTGCGGTGCCTGGGAATTTGGTCTGCATCTTCCGCGCTCTGGCTGGCATGATTGATACTAGACGTGCAATGCTTGTCCCGAGCAAGCAGCAACGGTGGTGGAATTTTGGCATAGACATGCTGTTTTGTGTGATCGTACCCGTTGTGGCAATGGCCACACATATAGTCTACCAGGCGAGCCGATACATTCTGATCGGCATCTCAGGCTGCGTTAACAGCTTTGATGAAAGTTGGGTGAGCCTCATACTGGCATGGATCTGGCCTCTAGTGATCTGCCTCATGGCTGGCTATTATTGCAGTACGTTAACACCTGTCTGCGGCATCCTTGGTCCAAACAGCTAACAGCCTACCAGGCCTTGTGGTTTATCGTCTTCACAGGTACCGAAATCAGTTTGGTGACATCCTACAAGCATCAAACAGCAACTTGAACAAATCTAGATTCATGCGGCTATTCATACTTTCCTTCATTGTGCTCCTGGCTATTCTACCGGTTCAGACTTACGTTGTCTACAAGAACATAGAACTTTCGTTGCCGTGGCACTCTTACTCATGGAGTGTGGTACATGGACCATATTGGAATAGAGTTCAGAAGATACCATCGGGTGGTGAGGCCTTCTTCGATCGCTGGTTTCCAGTTGCCTCGGGGTTCATGTTATTCATCCTCTTCGGGTGCGGGAGAGACGCTTCCAGGATGTATGGTTCATACCTCCGCTTGCTGCGCCTGGATCACTGCTTCGTCAGAGCCCACGACTCTTCGCCAGATGCATCCCGTTCCCACACTTCGGGTTTTTCGAACAGCCGACTTGGACTACTCTTTCATATTTCATGGACTTCTACAGCAGGGTAAGGATCAGCTGCACTAGCTCTAACGAGTCATGTACTAACTATGGCCGTAGAACTTGTGCAGAGAACCCCGCTACTGCGAATAGTATCGATAGGAGCTCTGATGACATCGAGAAGGGCAGGGTCTCTTCGCCGAAACCCCAGCGAGGACAAACTATGTCGTGGCTCAAGCATCCTTGGTCAATTTTGCACCGTCCACTTCACCGCTCGTCTACCTTTAGTGGCAAGAGAATCTTATCCCATCCTAATCTCTCTGCCCCGTCAAATACAGTTTCCGCTAATGCATGGGCGGGCTCCAGCCAAAGCCGGGGGAGTAGCGATCTTACCTTTATGCCTGGAAGGGAAGCCTTTATCCGAGTGAAACGCGACATCAGCCAGGAGAGCGAAGTGCGAAAATGAGGTCGTATAATACTCCTGAGACAGGCCTTTTACCTAACTGGCAACCCAGGTGAAGTACCTGCACCCCGGGATTTTAACGGTCTCTTACTTTTCACTCCCACTCGTCCGTTGAGAATGCTTCATGCTCTCTTCTAATTACCTTGCTTTTTTTCTTCCCGTCTAGATGTGTGGCTGATGTTGCATTAAGTTTATAACGTATGACCTCCAACGGAGAAGCTGGGTTTAAAGTCTGCGATGAGTCTATTGCTTCTGTTTCTCCAATAGTTAGATAATTCAGTATGCTAGATCTAATCACTCTCTAAGATGTAACCGAAAGGCTTTACTAATTTATTGACTGATCTGGTATGTGATATGCCACAAGTAACAAATAGCATGACTAGCATGCACACCATCATAGATAAGCAGGTTGACCAACGCATCGGACGCGTCAGGTCCATTTTAAGCTTGTCCCATGAGAGCCACGAAGCAATATGATAAAAGAGCGCTAGTATTCAAGGGTATACTTGTACAACAACTACAATACAGAAGCCGTATGATCCAAAATATAATTAGAACACATAATGGCCGTTTCACTTTCACTGATAAAACCTACAAGGGATCACATCAAGCCTCTGATCTTTGAATGTCCGCCCTTCAAGCTAGCATGTAGTCCTCCTTGTGCAAGCTTATGTTCGGCCGACAGAGCTTTAGGCAGACTCATTTTCGTTAGGGTTGGCCGGGCGTTTGAGGACCTCGAGGTTCCCTGGATAGTGACACGGAAGTTAGCGTAATCCGACGGATTGAGTTCGTCTTGGACGGGAATCTTACGTTGAACAATGTTTAGAGAGGTCTGCTTCTTGCCCTCTGCATCTTCCCAGTCCCGCAGGCTGGCGCTTCCCTCGAGGTAAACAAGGGTTCTGGCAAATGAGAAAAATCAGAGTTAGCACCACACCTTAACACCTTTCCTATGCATGCATTGCAATCAAATATAAATAGATATGCGCGGCATGAGAATAAGGTCGATACTACGTACCCCTTCTGCAGACCCAGCACGTAATCGCGCTGAGCACCCTGGTCGAAGCTTGCGACCTTAAACCAGCTTGTCTGTCGGTTGTCGCGGGCCCCGGTCGAGGTAGCAACGGTGTATCTGATAACATCCTGACCGGATGAGGTGGCCTGCAGCTCCGGAGCGGCGGCCAAACGACCGGTGATGATCATACGAGCTACCGAACGCGACGAGGAAGAGCTGAAGGAACGCGCGGAGAGAGCTCCGCCGGTGGCGGTGCGCATCAATGGGCGCAGGGATGAGGCGAAGGCAGACATGGTATGGCTGGTGTTCGGACTCTTTGCCTTTGAGCAAGTATTAGGGATAATGGTCGGTGAGAATAAAAAAAAAAACAAAAAAGGAATCGGAAGTAAAATGTCACAGCTTCTCGTAGGTGTTTAACTGTCATTAAGTTCCTTTGCTTGCGCGATTTGGAATGCGGTGTGGGTCTCACGTGATGGCTATGGGCGATCATTGGGTATTGTTTGGCTCCTCATCCATTTATCTTATCTACTTCTTGTTCTACTTTGTACATACCATGTATGGGTTGTTCATGGATACCTTCTCGTTCTTATTCATGGGATGACTATGCATTCTTCCCCCACCCAAGATATGTCCACCTTCTACTTAAAAGAAGAACTAGACAAAAGTGATACCATGACACTCTGTAATACAAAGAATGGTGACCGAAGTAACACCTTTGCCTCCCATTCGCTTGTGGGAGGCCCTGGAGTGAGCTGACAGTTGCCATTTTCGCCATGATTCTCGGGACATGCATGCATATATCAATCGTAATAAACTTTTTACCACTGAAAATATGCTACCGATCGTATCGCCAACTGTGCGGTCAAGGATTCATTGGTGTTCATGCATTTATGACATGTGAGATATCAATTTCATGCATTGACCGTGACAGTAGGCTCGTCTTTTTTAACTCAAACCTTGGAATAGTGGTCTCCAGGTCATTTTTACTCGTGCCGTGATATGTTCACCGCATCGCGACCGTACATTCCATTATTGAAAAGATGCGTTGGGGATTGCGACTAGCAGGTTCTGAATAAATTTCCGACGTGATGGAGTGGGCTGACAGAAACGAGAACATGCTGAGGAGCCCGCCATTTCGGAAGAACCGGTGTTCGGTTAACTAAGCGACCACCTATCCTTGGTCTTACTCCTGACTAAGTATGCATCTCCAAGACTCCAACAAGATCTCTGTCCCGAAGATGAGCATGGTTCCTGGAGAAGGGATCTAGCTCGGATGTTAGTGTGGCTTCCGTCCTCCATTGAGCGAGCGGTGCCTTGTGATCAAGGCCATTGTGTTTTGATCGTGGAGGGTGATAGGCTGAAGAGATGTTCGTGGGAGAAATTAGACCTATCGCCTCATGCAGCCGATCACACGCCCTAAACCCATTCTGAAGGTTGCTAGTGCTGCTAGCGCAATGACGGCCCCGAAACTTGGAAGGTTTATAACAATTTAGTCAACGATTAACGAACTAGTAAGCACGACTAGAGGCCATAGCTAGGCGAGGCCTTCACTAGAGCACACTACGGGGGTACTCTCTTAACTCAATCCTATACCATCTTCGCTGAATCATGATTATCAGCTCAGCGTGGTCGTGCCACGTCAGACTGCGATTCCGTCAGATTGCAAATTGGCTTACCCTGTGCGTGTGATTTTCATCGCATCCCGACACCATGCTATTGCTAATCTCAAAGAGCACTGAACATTATTCCGATTAACATTCAGCCTTTCGAGGCGATAATTCTCCTTACAGACTTAGTTCGGTCTATCGGACGCCATCGTGGATCTCCCTGAAGTCTCTTTAGTTTAGTTCCTTGAGTGGTGCTCACGACCTACGAGCTTATCCTGATGCGATATAGTCGTTCAGCTGTCGTCGCCATCGTGAACTCAATTGCCGATCCCACTAGATCACTCAATTTACCACGCATGTAACCGCTATCTTTTTACTTTCGATGAGTGGGCCGTCTTGCGCCGTTCATCCGTTTAGTCCATTTGGTAATATGGCTTGCTTGGGCCTCTGCTTGTGCGCGCTAACAACGCTATTTACGGGGTACGGAGTTCCCGGGTACCAGGATCTAAGTATGAGAGCTCCTTTTCGGTTTTCATGCATCCATACTAGTACATACATACGATAGAATATACATAGTGGAGACTAACCAACTAGGGCCCACAAGTCCTGCCTGTTCTTCTACTGCTCTAACGACGTTCCCTGTTCTCTATTGCGTGTTTCCATTTCTCCTCAATAGTTAAAATTCTCTGCTCATACTTGACCGTTCAATGTACATGAAAGGATATGTGAGTAGAGGTTACGAAGGGACTTTCTGCAGATTCTTGAGACCCTGTTCTGGTTTCAGGTCAGGCTACTCTTGACTCCGTTGATGTTTCTCTGAGACCCTGAATACACCAATCCCCCTTCGCAAGATGCGGCTGCTTCCTTTGCTTGCGCTTCTCGCGTATCTTGTGCCGTGTCTGTTCGTGTTTGCGACACGGATACCTCACAGTGAGGGCAATAAGTATGGGAGCATCGCCATAATAGAAGCTAGAGCAACAGGCCAAGTGACTACAACAACAGCAGATGCAACCACTGGGACAACAGCGAGCGCAACTGGCCATGCGACGGCCACAGCCAATTCCACCTCGGCGTCGAATACAACCACCTCGGCCACTACGGCTACAGCGACTCTGGCTACTCCGGTCCCAACTGGTAGTGAGTGGAAAGATCCAATCTATACTTCCTTGTTCTCAATACTGAGGCTTTACAGATGAAACGACTCCGATCGCACCTGGTGCGCTCCCTTTGCAACCTACGATAACACCTGCGTTGGGAATCGGTGGCTTCATTCTAATCGCCGCCGGCGCAGTCCTTGCAATAATAGGAATACGGAATCTATGGTAAGATTTGATGACTTGTTCACGATTGGTATACATAGCTCACCAGGCTCAGGATCCAAGTCTTCTTATCAACCGCTTTCTTAGCTGGTATTGGAGTAACTGTGAGCTCCACTGTCTGTGTCTAAGTGTGACATGATTCTAATCAACTTCGCTCTTGTAGGTTCTCATCGTCTACGTCATGAATCCCCCAGTGCGTGTCGCAGTTCAGGGTGCCTACCTCGTCGCCATTTTCTTCACAGGAGTGACTTTTGGAGCACTATCGCTTGTTTTTAAGGAATTAACAGAGGGGCTTGGCTGTCTTCTAGGCGGATTCTGCTGCAGCATGTGGCTTCTCTCCCTTAAGTCAGGCGGCCTTCTCACACAAACGGATGCCAAAAGCGGGTTCATCGGCGCTATCTCAGTCGCATTCTATGCTCTGTCATTCAGTCACTACACCCGACCCTATGGACTAATGGCATCGACTGGTATTTCTGGAGGTACTGCCGTTGCATTAGGAATCGACTGCTTTAGTCGCGCTGGTTGGAAGGAGTTCTGGCTGTATATTTGGGGTAAGTATTGTCTTTCACTCCTAGTAATACTAGGATCGTTCCTCTGACCGATGTCTAGCTCTGAATGACGACATTTTTCCTTTGGGCACAAGTACCTACCCTGTGACTCGTAACATTAAAGTTGAGCTTGCCGCCACAGTCATTATTGCCGTCCTAGGTGTGATCTCACAACTCAGGCTATGGAAAGTAATCCGGGAAAGAAGGCAGAAAGAGAATGAGGTTCGCGAGAAGGAGCAGAAAGAAAAAGAGGAAGCCGAGCTCGAGATCGGGCGGAGGTTCGAAGAAAAGAATATGGAAGATCGTTTAGAATGGGAAGCCAGACATGGCAATCCCGACTCCGGCATTCCAGAGCTTGCAGACAACTCAAAGAGCGAATGTCCTGCAGATCACGCAGTAGATGTGGAGAAAGGCGGTACAGTTGACACGTCAACTGTTGCAAGCTCTTCACAGGAGTCCTATCGGTGCTCTGATTGCTTAGGGAGGCGAACGAATGGCGAATCTGCTTATGCTGCTTCATGCATGAGTGGGTACACTGGAGATTCTCAGAGTCGACAGCTAGAAGATACCACGGTGGGAGTCGAGACAGAAGACCAAGATGACTCCTCTCCCGACAGGGAAAAGTCCCCGCTGAAAGTGTTTGATGGGGCAGCTGCAGCCAAGATCAAAGATGACAATAGCTCTGATATGACAGCTATCGTTGGCTCCGAAGCAGGAACAATACGATCCAAGCGGCTTTCCGGGAGAGACCTATTGGACAGGGTGTCTGCGAAAAATAGCGCAAGGCTTATGTCTCAGTCTCAAGAAGCGCTGGTCTCCTGCGATGGTTCATCCGTGCAAGACACCGTAGACAGAAGCTCTGCCGCCGCCTCTGATAGTCACAGTAATGTGGTGGGAAATAATGTGGGGGAAGAAGATGGGCTTACATCTAATCCGGAAGATGCTCCAATTCCCTCTGCTATACAGGAAGCTAATGGTAAGGAGACACCCGGTCCTGAGAAAGAAGTTGAAAAAAGTATCGGGGAGCCTAGCGTCTATTCTCGAGGGGTAGACGAGCAAAAGTTCGGTGGAGTGGAGCAAGAGGGGGACAAACAAGAGATGAAAGAGTGTATCCCAACAAAAGAAAACCCTAGTGAGCGCCGCCCGTCACTATTATCGGCCCAGGAGAAAGACCTACCCGAGCCAAAACTTGACAAGCAGTCGACAGAAATGCTTCAAAAAACTGAGATAACAGCCGAGACAACAGGGCCCGCAGACCAGAACGATGACAAGTCACAGGTCATTGGGCCCAATGTGAATGGCTCGGTGACAAAAGATCAAGATGAGAAGCCAGTCGAAGCCAGCCAATCAAGGGAGTCTTCGCCCAAAGAATCCCCTCCAAATACTAAGAATTCTGCCCCTGTCAAGCAGAGATCTTCGAAGTCCGGATCTGAAACCAAGACCAGGCTTACAAAAGAAGCACCACCCCGATTGGATACAGAAACTGTAAAACGACTTCCACAACGAACATCAAGGGTAATACAGTCCTATCGAACGAACGAGTGGGCTAAGCATTTGGACGATGCGGAAGTTCCCGAACCTGAACCGATCGAGCCAGTCGAAGAGGACGACCCCGAAATCCCTGATGAAGTTAAAGAGGCCGCTGCACCTGTCAAAGTAGAAGAGCTACTGCAAACACCTTTGAATGCGCAGCCACCGCCTGTCGTCGAGAGGCGTGTCTCTATCGCTGAGCCACCGGTTACAAAGGAAAATAGCCAGATGCTCAACGACCCTCAGTTGCAGTTCAGCTCTCGAGCGCATAAGAGAGCAGTTTCCGGGTCAACTGTCTACTCGGAAACCGAACTTACTCATGCTGCGCATCCAGGAATCCAAGGCCAACCAGTCCAGGGAGTTCCTGATGCTGCCAATACCTACGACGCGGTATCTCCTACAGTCGACCCAGGGCAACCACCACATGGGGAGGCCGAGGTGGCTAGACCCCAGTGGAAAGGGCCACCCCCTCTCATTGCAGTGCGCGAGGGCATGGTGCGAAACAGGCTGTCATCTGTCTCGCTCAGTGCTGACCCCTGGCCCTCAAGGTTCGTCCAGGGAGCCGAGGTTTCGCCCCGACAATCAACTTTCCCCATCCCCGAAGAAGCAGACGACATGCCTCTCTCCCGACGTCGCACACTGCTGCATCAGCAGATGGCTGTGCAGTCTAATGTAAGCCAAACTCCCGTGAGAAGGAGTGCATCAACCCCACTCAACACGCCAAGCTTATTGCCGGCACGGCGGGAAGCTGTACGAGAAAATGTATATGACAGGCGAAGTCTCCCAGCCCAGAAGCCTCCAATTACCAGTCAAGGGACTGTTGCGCGGAATCCAACCTCTTCCAAGAAGCTGCGGGGAAGAGCCTCGTCAGCCAAGTTTGAGAACGCGATTGCGGAAGGCATGCAGCGAGGAGACATGACAGACTTGCATCGCGAAGCCTTGCGACGGATGCAAGCTATGGCCAATCGAAAAGTGAATGGCAAATGACTCGTCTGCGCTTCGGCTGGGCTTGCAGCAGTGAGGGTTTCACGTCGTTTTTGATGATTTAATCATGTCTGTACGCGTTTCGGAGTTCCGCGGGACGGTGTTCAAAACGAATCTTAATGAGTGTTATATAGATGGGTCCATGAGTGACTAAAAACTACAGTACTTAAAATGGATTAATATTTAGTAATCTTGAGAACTAGACCGTTTGCTCCAGTATATATAGTATATATAGTACATTCATCTCAGTGTTAGTTGGATCTGATCGACTTCAGGAGCAAAGGTCTCTCACTAAACGGTACTATTGAAAATTGGTGCCCTAACTTACGGGAGTACGGGCTAGTTCACTGAACTTCCAGCTACACAATGACGGGTTAAACGGCGACTAATGAAGGAGCGGCCAAGAAGACGGTTTAAGGTCCACCATTATAATTAGCAGCAATCAACGCCAGGGGTCTCGGTCTTGGGTGAATCTAAGCTCCCCGTCTGGACAAAGAGAGCAACGTCGTAATTGCTTCAGGTTGATTGATGGACAAAAAATCTACGGCTTGTCGGGTACGGGAATGCTGCCCTACGGGAGCTTTTAGATGTATCCATCCTGGAAATGACTGCATAAGAGGCATCTTAATCATGGTCAGAGTGTCACACATAATGTCATTAATCTATGCTATATGACATATGATGCAGGTCGTTTAACTGTCCTAAAGTTTTTTTTTTTTTCTTGTTTTGCTTTTTTTAATTTTTATTTTTATTTGTTTTTGCTTACTCTTCTAGTTGCCCTGGCGGGATCGATTTCCCGCTGCCTGTTCTCCTCCCGTGATAGAAGTGCCCTAAGGGAAAGGATTCGTGAGTGACGCAAAGGCTTAAAAGCCTTACTTTCCGGTTGGGCTATTGATCCATTTATTGTTTCGTCAGGGGGGTGTGATGCTTCCGGGATGGTGAGAAGGGTTATTTATCTATTTAGAATAAAGATTAAGATCCCGTCGCATCTGCCGTTCGGTTTACTTCTTGTCCATTGATTGACTTGATTTTTGTTTTTCTTGTCCATGTTGTCCTCGTCTTGTTTTTGAATCCAACTAGGAAATGGGCTCATATTGACCCATACGGAGTACTTAAACGGCGAGCTATAGATCCGCCGAAAGATCCGACGAAAAGAACTATTGAAGTGAAAATCCACGGATTGAACATACGATAAAGAATTCTCAGTCTTCACTTACCATCGTCACTACTCATAGATATTTCATTTCTTTTCTAGACAGAACATATTGAGGGCAATACTTTTTTTTCTGCTTCTTAGCGACTAATGTCGCGCTTTGACCGAATCGTGACCCTTGCCTTGCCCCTTTCTGCCTCTCACCCGCCAATCAGCGTCCCGCCTCTGTCGCTCATCGATTTGTTGCTGCTTTTCTTCTCTCAGCAATCTTCACCACGACGGCCCTTCCTGTCACCGTGTCTCCTCCTCCTTCTCGTCTCTCATATATTCTCGACTCGTCGCCCGTGTCGGAAACGGCGTCTTTCGCGGCCCCTCGGGATCCTCCTCTTATATCCCCGCCCGAGGCCGAAGAGTCTTCCCTGCCCCCGCGTGGCTATCGAAGCCCGCGCCGTTCGTGGGAGTCCCACCAGCGTGCATCGTCATCGGCCTATCACTCCAAGCCAACGAGCTCCTCCCGATCCATACCGCGACACAAGGGTTTCTGGACTCCCTCCACCATCTTACGGCCTCCCTCAGTTCGACTCGCGAACCCCGTCAACTACGTCCCGCGAATTACGCCGGTCACCGTCCCCCATCCCTTCCAGAGCTCCGAAGAGAATCTCTGTCTCGAGGCGCACCGCGACGCATACCCTCTCCTGTCGATTCCCGAGCAACGTCGCAGCCGACTCAGCCCATCCCCGAATAGTCTAGTGGTGGAGCGCAGCCAGGGGGAGACCGAAAGTGGGCGCTCCAGCATCGCAGTGCCTCGAGCGCAAAGGCGCAGTGGTACCTTCAACGAAGATTGGCCGTTACAGGAAATGCCAGAATCAGCTGGAAATCATGGGAGTCCGGAGGCACATAGTATTCGTCCACCCGACCGGGCACATCTGACCCTAGACCCCGTCGTCGACCGATCGAATCCCCTCGATGAGCGCCCCCGACATATACAATCACAGGCTTCTCTACGGTCGCAAGCACAGATCGCTTCGATACCGTCGCATACGGGGCAACACCCCGGTGGCGAAGCCGACGTGGCGGAGGAGTTAGCCTGGGGACCAGCCCACCCGTGTTACCCTCATATCAACCCGCATGTATCAGTGAGGTCCCAGGAGTATCATACGACACGCATTATTCGTATTCGTCGAGACTGGATGGTTAGGGGAGATTTGGCCCCGACGTTTTCCAACTTGTACCCGGAGATTCTCGATCCGTTACTGCCTGAGCAGGAGTTCCGCAGGATTATTGCTACGGTCAATGACAAGCTTGTAAAAGCATTTGATCCATTCAGCCTTCGGAACTGGATAGATGGAGCGCTGGCGTTGTTGACCGGCTGGATCTGGGAGGATATAGGGGCCACGGGAGTCAAAAGCCAGCTCAAGCAGATAGAAGACTGGGTGGAGAATTGGAACCGTGAGGTCGGCGCAAAGGATGGGGTATATATCTGGAGTCTTCGACGGACGGCTTACATGTCGTTGGACATACAGATTCCTGACCCCAAGGTTGGCATCATTCCCAGTGAGCGTGGGCCATCACTGCCCGGGACTCGACCAAGCAGTGGTGTATAGTCTTGAGGCTAAAAGGTGGGGACGATTTAGGACTTGATGCTTCGAAGTCCTTTTTTTTTTCTTATTTTATTCTTTTCTCTTCTTTTTTCTTCTTTTCCTGTATTCCTTGATTTTAACCCCATTTTTAATTTTTGCTTTCTCCACTGCGACCTGCAGCTGCACGATTCTAGCGACTTGGGATGTTCTTCCTGATTACCCTTCCTTCTTTTCGATTTGACGATATCCACGTCTTTGATTTCAGATCGTTGATAGCATGTCTCTGAATTTGCCCCAAACCCCTTCTGGTTTTCGCCTGTTATGGGATGGGAGTTCCTGTTTATATTCTGTATACTGTCTGTGTCTATAGTTCGGTTCGTTCGGTGTATGTCAGATATGCCGGTTGTGCATAACGAGAGAGGGCTCTGAACGCCAGAAACAAGTTAGAAAATAACAATAGTGAATATATAAAAAAAAATAATAATAATAATAATAATAATAATAATACAATCATGATTGAGTGAATAAGTGCATGAGTGACGGTACACAGAAGAACTGTAGTCGGGATTCTTATTATTCGCAGGACGGAGGGTATATTTCCAACAGGGACCGCAGCTAAATTAAGTCCCCACGTCTCTCAGTCCAGAAGCTTACTTCCACTCAACGCCGATCTCTAAACCCAACTTTCCACCCCCGAACTTTTCGCGACCTCCCTAAACACTTCCCCTTTACTCTCCTCCCCTCCCACTCCTTCACAATGCTCTCCGGTATCCTAATTTTTAATCAAAAAGGCGAAAATCTCATCTTCCGTGCCTTCCGCAATGACTGTCGCCCCCGGTTGGCCGACATCTTCCGCATCCAGGTCATCTCCAACCCGCAAGTACGCTCGCCCATTCTCACGCTAGGATCCACGACGTTCAGCCATGTGAAGCACGAGAATATCTACCTGGTGGCGGTGACGAAGAGCAACGCCAATGCGGCGCTCGTGTTTGAGTTTCTGTATCGGTTGGTGATGCTGGGGAAGAGCTACTTTGGAAAGTTCGATGAGGAGGCGGTCAAGAATAATTTCGTTTTGGTTTATGAGTTGCTGGATGGTGAGTTCTTTTTGCACATTGTTTTCTTGTGAGCTATGATATAGCTGGTCATGTGGGTGGTGGGGTGAATGTGGCATGGAAGCAAGGACTCCAGGAAAAGGGGAACCAACAGTGAGGGCAGATAACTAACAGATATGATCCAGAGATCCTCGATTTCGGATATCCCCAAAACACGGAAACGGACACCCTGAAGATGTACATCACGACGGAGGGAGTCAAATCCGCCATCACCAACAACCCCACCGACTCAAGCCGCATCACCATGCAAGCCACCGGCGCGCTCTCCTGGCGCCGCTCCGATATCAAATACCGCAAGAACGAGGCCTTCGTAGACGTGATCGAAGATGTCAACCTCCTAATGTCAGCGACTGGCACTGTGCTCCGCGCCGACGTCAACGGCCAGATCATCATGCGCGCCTACCTCTCCGGCACGCCGGAGTGCAAGTTCGGCCTCAACGACCGTTTGCTGCTCGATACCGATGCGGCCGGTGGCTCAGAATCCGGTAACCGGGGCCTAGCAACGAAGGGGACTCGCGCCGCAGCGGGCTCGGTCACACTTGAGGACTGTCAATTCCACCAGTGCGTGAAACTGGGCCGTTTCGACGCAGACCGGATCATCTCGTTTGTTCCGCCGGACGGCGAGTTCGAGCTCATGCGATACCGCGCAACGGAAAACGTAAATCTTCCATTCAAAGTGCACCCCATCGTGAGGGAAGTGGGTACGACGAAGGTCGAATACAGCGTCGCCATCAAGGCGAACTATAGCTCGAAGCTCTTCGCGACAAACGTCGTCATCCGCATCCCTACGCCGCTCAACACAGCCAAAACTACCGAGCGCACCAGTCAAGGCCGTGCTAAATATGAACCCGAACACAACAACATTGTCTGGAAGATCGCCCGTTTCTCCGGTGGAAGTGAGTACGTGCTGACGGCCGAGGCAACGCTCACCAGCATGACACATCAGAAGGCTTGGAGCCGGCCGCCGCTCAGTCTTTCGTTCAGTCTCCTTATGTTCACAAGTAGCGGACTCTTGGTTCGGTATCTCAAGGTCTTCGAGAAGAGCAACTATAGCAGTGTGAAATGGGTACGGTATATGACTCGAGCAGGAAGTTATGAGATTCGGTACGTTTTTTGATCTCCTCCCTTCCGTTTCCCATCTTACTACCATTTATAATGTTGGGATACTAACGCTACCATAGATTCTAGCTTGTCACTGCAGGCCAGGCAGCCAGATTCACCATTCATCTATACCATTAGCAATGGCATTATCAACATCATTACCAATATCAATATCTATTAACTAACCATGAGCTGGGTGTATGGCGTTGTGGTCCTTGTTCTTTCCTGGATATGTACTGTATGAGCGAGACTATAATTGTATAGTTTTCTGTGGAACCTTTTCTATAATAAACGTTCAGCCCAATTTACTACCGCTTTTTGCCCATTGGAACTTATAGTAAGCACGGGAAATATCAACGAGAAGAACTAGTCTTTCCACCACTCCGGGGGCAAGTCCGAGGCAACTTATACGTAACACTAATAGTCTAGTCATGTTACATCCACTCAAGTTCATCACATTGAAAAAAAAAAAAAAAAAAAAAGGTATAAACAAATAAATAAACAATCATATCAGAACTTGGCCTTTGTTTTCCAATGGTCATCCATCTACCTAGATTAATATCTACAAGCTTAAGTACACTACGAAAACCATTCTAATACTGCAGTAGAAGAAGAAACCTTGATTTTGAACTCCAACCCATTCATCCCCAGACATAAGGACCATCGTCCATATAGTAAGATAAAAAGCAACTAATAATGCACATCATGGTACCAGAGAAAAATAAAAATAAAAATGTAAATCATACAAGAAATCGATGGTGTACAATCGATAGCCCAAGTCAATAGCACGTAAATAATACATAGAACTCATCAGGTGAACTGAATGGAAGAAATACAGAACAGGACGATCTCAGTCCAGACGCGACGGGGGGATAAAAGACAAGTGTGAAGAAGCGATAGGGTAGTAATACATCGGTGTGGAGTTGAAGAAAAGCGAACCGTGAGCCCGTAGAATACATGATACCGGATATCCGTCAAAGATGTTCATAGAAAGGTGAAGAAAATATGAGGAGGAAGGATAAAAAGAGAGGGAGAGGGAGTCATGAGAAGAAGGGCATCTATAGCCAACGAGGACGAACCACTCGCCGATCTAGTAATCCGACATTTCCCTCTCCCACGAGGTCCTGCCATCGACGTCCGACGCTAGCATCATCTTTGCCCATGCGTCGGGCGCAGTCCTCCAGATCTCGCTGGGAAAGCTGGAAATTTTGAAGAACTAACTCGACAAGTCGCTGGTCGTCGTCTGCGTTCCAGGTCTCGTTTGACGGAGTTTCCTGTGTCTCTTCGATAGACGGCAATACTGCGTCAGGATTAAATAATTGCGCGCTTTGCTCGGGACTCAGTTCCAATTGGCGACAATGCACAGGCGACGGAGGCGACTGTGAGATTGGTGGAGAGTGAAGGGCATAGAAGTCTGATTGCGAGAGACCCAGAGGAAGCTCGTAGGGGGCGTGACGAGTGCGCTTCGGGGTTGAGAATCGCATGCCACGAGTAGTGCTTTCTGTGTCGCTGGTGTCATCGTTTACCTCGGAGCGATCGCGCTTGCGTTTGTTGATGCTTCGCGAAGGTTTGGGTGATGGCTTGGGATCCTTTTGCCTCCGCGACCGGGCGGAAGGCGTGATTCTGATGTGAAGGGGACTTTGAAGGCGCTCTGGTTTTGTGCTTCGTGGCGAAGGAGCGGGAGAACTGTTTAGAAGCGATTGGAGGGCGCGACAGGTGCCCAAGAGGCCATTGCTAGATGGGAATTCATCGTCGGATGGTGGGGGGGTTGTGAATAGGCGGCTGGGATCCAGGCGCGACTGAGTCGCGGGGCGGCGCATGTCGCAGGGTAGAGCGGATGGGAGCAACATAATTGCGCAGAGGTGTGGTTATCGCGTGGGAAAGATATTGAGAGACGAAGGAATGTGCGATGGTAGAAAGTGTGGTGGTTGGTCAAGATCGCTGATTGTTATGTGCGCCGGTTGCGCGGGCAGCGCTGGATTTGCGCCGGAGGAGGTCACGTTAAGACCAGGGAGAGACTGGGTGGTGAAATTCAGACCGATAGGAATTTCAATATCAGCGCTTCAATATCGGCTGGTTCCGAGTGATGCGACGAGGTGAAAAAGTGCGTTGATAGATAGATGATGAGGGAGTGGGTAGATGGATCAACGTTTGGGAAATGAGTGGGAGTGGCGCGGGAAAAGGAGAGGAATGTTCCGCAAACGACAAAGTGCTTTGTCGACTCCGTTCCAGTGGTTAAGCCACTCCAGAAAACTGGTCTGCAACTATGTCAAAAGAATGACGAAAGAAACCAACTTCCTAGTGCAAGTTGCTCAATTACAATGATGAAAAATGAAAGTGAAGCAAACGAACTTCCCTCTCAATGAGGCAGGAATGTCTTAGCAAAGAATGACTGATGATTCAAGTCTAATCATATCCCCTCAGGGTTTCTTTGCTCTCCTTCTTTCTTTCTACTCAGGGTTGCTGCTGTCTTCTTCTCCCTGTTCCAGGGGAATGGCTCCATTATGAAGGTCTACAAAGACTACAATCTTTCCCCTCTCACCCTCTTCTCGGCTGCAGTGAGACAAGGACAAAAGGGAGTCTTCAAAAGAGGGATGCATGAAGCAAGGCATTATCTGAGAGAGCAAAAAACCGCCGAAAAGCCACCCACGAGACGGGTTTATTTTTGACTTTACTGAAGACAGGGTGTGCAACCAGCACCGTCTCACGCCCTTGCTTACCATGCATCATCCCACTTTTTTTTTTTTTTTCCTGTCAGCAGTCCGTGACGATATCCTCTTTCGTGGCTCGTGCCGTTGCGGCACGAATTTCGAGCTGCATTGCAGCAGCTGCAATGCATGCGAATTGTCACTTGCAGCAACAATGTTCTTCATCAGAGCGGAGCATGTGTGGCGGTTGAATTCGATATTGGCCAAGCTCTGCTGTAGCCACTTAGACAGACCATTATACTGTAATGTAATGTTGACTAGAACATATCTATGTCATTCTCTATCTTCTACTCACCCCACAACTAGTACAATAGCTCCTCGATATACCCTAGATCAAAGATTAGAGTGTAGACCTAGATTCCGTTTCTCTCCCATTCTTCCTTGAGGAGCTTCAACATTGATTCATCCCACTCAGAAACCCTTTCAGGATATTTATTATTAAAGAGCGCCTTCATCCCGAACGTAGAACCGATTATCAGGCAACTCTTTTGTCCCCAATTGACTCGACTTCATTGGCACATCTCTATACTCCATATTCCCAATCGGGTTATATTGCCTCACACACTATCGGAATCGCGAACGCGTCGCGTATATCCCGCGTCACGATACAGTACGCGTCCGCCAATCACAGATGGCATTGATAAGGCTCGGGTCCGTTGAAGGCTTCAGATGACAAGGTCACGTTACGAACATCAACCCACCACCTGCATGAGCGATATTATCGTCGTCGGACTAGGCGAGAAGAAGAACGAGAACAGGAGCCAACCCCCTGTTCAAGGCGCCGCTGATCCGGTTAATCGTCCGAGAAAATGAAGTGGCTAGATGAATTTCCTCCTATCGTGCGCGATCTTATCAGAGATACGCGGCCTCCTTGCTTCCCTGAAGGGCCAAGGGTCGTCGCTCCCGCATTCTTGCTCGAGGTGCGATGAAACTCAAAACGAATCAGTTGATGCTGCAATTGGCAGTACCTGAGGTTGCATGACTGTCCCTTTCTAATTGTGTCCTGGAACGTATACAGTTGGTTAGTTTGTCCTGATTCAGATCTATTGGCGTCCTTGTCTTGAGCTGCAACCCCGCCACCACCCGTCACGGACGCGCATTCGGGCAATTGCGGTGCCTTGCGTTTACAATCAGGTGGTCCTGATCCTTGATCTCGGGGATTTGGTCGGGGGAATCCACAATGTCGCGTTATCTCGCAGACTGCTGCTGCAACAAATTCTACGAATACGCCACGGTATCACTTGGTGGACGGAACAGTTGCATCGACGTCAGCAGAGATGACAATCCACAGTTCAAGTTCATTAGCCAAAGCTGATAAACCTCTTTCTGGAAAAAATCACATCATGTGAATGGTCCTCGAGAAAATAAACTATGGCCCAAGCCCTCTCATTGATACTCTATGGGAGTACAGAGGAGTACAGGAACCCAGGAGGTTGGGAAGGGTTACTCACCCCTCATACAATGGTCCAACAATGACTACTTACTATTCGCTCCGGTAGCAGGTAAAACTAAAGGACATAGACTCTGAACTCTAAGGAAAGCTTACTGCGAAACAGCTAAACGCAAAAAAACGCCGACCCTTCAGCTGTACCCCAGCCTCCGAGTGCAATCCAAGACTCATGCAAGGGGTATCAGGAACCGGTGCAACCAGATGCGAGAAAATCGCCGCACAGTGGAGAACACACTCACAGGGCACGAGTCTGCAGAACATTTCAACGCGCACTTGCATTATCATTTGACAGATGCAAGTCCTTGTATTACCGGTTGTGGTAAGGCCTGATCCCTTTCCACCTATGATGCCATGCGTAGATCCTTTGTATAGATGATATCCTTTCTCGTGCCTTCGGGTGGCTGGTAAGACTGATTGCTTTCACTCTCTGCTCCTCCAATGGCACGATTCGCCCCTCTTCTTTGTCTTTGGGGTTGTAAACCTCCCTCAAGATCGACCTTCTTTGACTTCCCCCTATCGATAACAGAACAAGATATGTCGAGCGAATGTCTTCCCCCCGGCTGATGTCACCACGCATCCCATGTTAATTCTCCTTGACCCCTTCACCCTCCATTATCTCAAAGCTATCCAATGAATAAGTCCACCATTGTGGCACCTTACATGACACCACCTGACAACCTCATATCCTCCAATCGAGATTGACTGATTGCCTAGCGCAAAGGAAACAAGTGCCTAATAATAGACCTAGAATTGCAACATCAAGGGTACGGAGTACAATCAAGCCATTGAACATCGTCCTTTGAGAAGGGGATAGGAGGTGCCTTGAGACCATACACCTCCTTCTCCCTCTTCGCCTCTTCCTAGCTCTCCCTATTTGCAACATAATATGGCTGCCCGAGTTCAGTAGCCCGTCTCAGCCCTTTTGTGGTACACCATAGAAGGCCACCCTGTACACCGTATTGCTTTTCTCTCCTCTTCTTCTTTGGCCCCTTTGCTAGTTTTGCCTTCTCTCCTAATCCCTTCTTGACTACCCTTTGCTCTTCCTAGTTGCCGTATCCTATGATCTATTTTTGTCTCATATACTAGCAGCTTTGCTGACGTCGACTCTCGAAAGGGAGTGTACGTTTGAGGCGCCTCTCAGGGGCGAAGTGCCTGCTTCGGAAAGAATAGAATCGATGCAAGTCTGGCTTTGTTGTCTTTCTTTCCTCCTGATTTTAACAAGAAAACCTTTCTTATTTCCTTCTAGTCCTCATTCAACTAGAGTTCAAATGCATGCATGCGTCTTGGTCTTACCGTGCGCTGTGCCTGCGTCGCCTAAGCGATAGCTTTTAAGCCTTAGGTTAAAGTTGGGCTGTGAAGAACTCAATGCAATGCTTACCCGAGTCTTTTGCTTTATGCGGGAGATGAACTATTGAAAGTCAAATTACATTCCGATCTGAAGTTTTTCTATTATTAGGTCTTCTTTGTGCAGACTATCTCAACTCGCTGGACTCAGTGATTTTATCGACTTGGTTACTTGCTCTTAGACATTTTTGTGGTTTCCCTGAGAACATCCCTCCAGGGTGCTTTTGCTGTTTTTATGCAGTGCCCCGTTTGGTGTTTGCTGCAAGACTTTGAGTCCCATTCAATGTAGGACGTGAACCCTTGATTCCATCGTTTGTGAATAGGTATGTATCCGTGTACTGCTCGTTACCAGGCGGACTAAGTCATGCCATATCCTGCACTGAAGGTTTGCATATGAGAACTTTGCTCTTGCAAGATAAACTCCAATGGATCTGGGCAGAAGCAATCTCGGTCTTGATTTCTATGTGGATGTCCTGGTGGCCTCGTGTCTGCGTGTCCTACCCAGCAGTGCGGCGGGAGTTCAGGGTCTGAAAGAGTCGTAGACATGGATGCGGAATGTCCACGACATAACTCATACTCCTGTGAGACTGGAGGTGTTGACGAATCTCTTGCTTGATATGGTATCTCTTCAGCAGCATACGACTGCCCCGAATCGACCCTTGAATACCCGTCAGAGCACAGAGTCTGCATGGGTGCGCTGTCCTGCTCTGGTATTTTTATTAAACTGCCCAGGTTGCTAATCAGAGAACCCTTATGCGTACGAGGTTTCCAGCCCCTGATCGCTCGTCGGTATAGAGCTTCGAACTCCACCCGATGAGATGGGTTGGTGAACCAGTTATGATTTAACGCTTGTTTAACGTCTATGCGCTTCGCTTCATCAAACACGAGAAGCTTGCGAACAAGGTCCCTCGCGCGCTGTCTGATCTTGTTCCACTCCATATCGGCTTCGAGTTTCTCAAGGTCACGCTCTCGAGAGAGATCTGTCGGATCAGTAGTCAATGAGTTCTTAAATGGGATGTCTCCGGTCAGGAGAACAGCTGCTACACAGCCCAGTGACCACAAATCTACAGCTTTTGTGTAGCCTTGCTTGGACTTTAGCATTTCACTATTTATGAATGTTAGCTTCTATGGCTAATTTTGCTTGCGTCATACTAACGGCGCGCTGTAGTCGAATGTGCCGATCAGCGTAGACATCCGCTCAACAGTTGGCCGCACAAACCTGGCACATCCGAAATCGGTGAGTACGACTCTGCATCCATCAGCTAGAGATGTCATAAGAATATTATCTGGCTTTAGATCACGATGGACAATTTCCCGTTGATGCAGATAGTCCAAGGCCATCAGGACCTGTCGCACGATGACTGCGGCTTCAATATCGTCTAGCTTTCCGCCCTTATACTGGATGTAGGAGAATAGATCACCAGCGGTGACGAGTTCTTGGAAAAGGTAACTGTCCAGGTTTAGCTAATTCTAAGAGAAAGCATCTAGGAACCCACATTGTATTGCTTGACTCGATGACTTTCTCAATGCTAATGATGTTGGGCTAACCATGTCAGGATCGACAATGGACTTCCAATCGACTTGTGTGTAAGAAACTTACATGACAGAGGCTCTCAAGTATTCTAGCCTCGCGGCTGTATACGTCAAGCTTCTCCTGGATCTTCCTTTGAAGGGATTTCTTGAAAGCACGAGTAACGAGCAACCTGTTTCTGTTGGGGGGAAACGCGTCCTCTTTAAAGTGCCTAGAGTGCTGATCTTCGGCTTCCCTAACAACTTTGTTCTTTAGAGCTCGGAGGTCGACAATCTTACAGGCGAGTTGCTGGCCAGTGTCCTTCTTGAATGCCATATGTACTTGTCCGTAAGCTCCAGATCCCAACTTTTGCGGCGTAACGCTGTACTGGTCTTCAAACACCTGTGCCGCTGATCAGCAAACACAACACGGCCCACGGATATAGGGAAGAATACCCTCATCTCTATCATTTGAAGCATGTCAAAGCAGTCTTCTTTTCCCTGTACAGCGCAACGAAAATGGAGAGAGAGCTTCGGAGACAGCCGTAGTACATCACCGTCACTAAGAAGAAAGCTTTCCTTGCCCTTTCCCATAGGGTAACCGTTCCATGAGGTGCCATTCATCGATAAGTCTTGAGCGTATACTAAAGGTGCAACTTCATCGGGGTTTTCTCGGTCAAATATTATTGTGTAGATCCGCAGATGGATGTTGGAGATGACTGGATCGTCCACAACATGGTTACTTAAGCTCAGTCAGTGTCAGGAAGCATCAATGAAGCAAAACAAAGGGCAACATACCAGCGCCTTTGATCACGACCCACGTATACCTCCACGTTACTATATATAGGGAAAGAATTCGTAGCCCTTTTAAGCTGTGCATCCCACACTGAAACAGTACCAACAAGGTCAATAGGTGTTGACAAGAACGACATAGTGCAACCGTATAGGAGCGTTGAATGGGGCTAATTGATCACCTGTTGTCTATTTGATAATGCGATTTTACATAGATAACATAGAATTGTGTAGAGGGGATAGTATGAATGAATTTGTAGGAGTTGTGATTCGTTACTGGAAGAGAGACGTGTCGAGGAAGTTAGAGATCTCGTGCATGTCACCTGGTATCAAATCACGACGTCACAGCACAACCAGCCTTCCATATCGTCCTCGAAGCCGCTAGTGACTATTTAATCTACTGTTTCTACACATTTAGAAGATATTAGTCTGGTCAATATCCGGAAGCTCTGAGTATCCCATATGAGGTTTCCTATAACATCAGCATTTTTAAATCTGGTTTCGACCCTATAAAGCTCGGTAACCCCAACCCATTCTTCGCAAACACATTCGCCTTTCCCAGGTAAGCTTCGGCATAGGAGCTCAGGGGGAAAAAACGTTGTTACAATATTAGAAAAGTGCAGGGCAATTTCGAATGTTTCAGAGGATTAGATGACTATAGAAATACTAGTATCAAACCATATTTCAATAGGAGGGCCAATCTACCGCAAGGATGGTACATTGACTATTTTATATTAATCATCGAACGCTTCTTTGGAGAGTATATGGCATTGGGTCTAGAATAAGTTAAATATAGGACCTGGGATATTCAACTGCCGATCTTTGTCCAAACTCCTCACGGCAATAACCCTACCTCAACAACCCACCAATCATTGTTTTGAACAGATTCTTCCACTTATCAGGACTTTGTCCAAAACATCCGTGGAGACAAAACACAGTATAACATTGAGACAGGACAAGAATGACCACACCACAATATCTGCCGATGTGAAACTAGTGTGCCCCTGACCGGAGCTTAGCTGCACCATGACCCGCGGGCTAATCCACCGCCAGTTTCAGGATATTAAGGAATGAAACTACCGACTCACATTGACGGGCCAAACGGAGAAATTACGTAGATCTAAACCCTTCCACGGGCCTTCTTCGGATGAGCCTGTCTACCATATAAATGCAACTAAGGCCCAGGGTGCAAGCTTTACTTCTCTGTCCTCTCGCTCCATACGGAAAACAAACCAGTCCATCACAAGTTCGAAATTGAAAATGCGCGGTCTCAGAAGCCTTGCCTCCCTCGCCGTTTTCGGCTTGGTCCAAGCCCAGGATAACATCGTCTTCGGCCCTGCGTTCTCCCTCGGCCCTACCAAGTCATGGATCCGTGAAGCGACTACTACGCTGGTGCTGCCCGAAGCACCAAGCCCTCAGGAAGATCGCCTTGCACTCTGGCCAGGAATGGGAACCAGCGGTGGTGACCTGATCCAGGCTCTCGCTGTCTCTTTCTCAGACCCTGCAGCGTGAGTGCTTAAACTGAAGAATAATTTGCTGTGAAACAACTCAAGTCACACATACTAATTAATTTCCATACAGAAACTGCGGCGCTAGCTCCGGCCAATGGTGCACATGGGCAAGCACTCTTCAGGGTAAAGGATGCGAATAAACAGATATAGAAGTGCATAATGCTGAGCGGAAACAGGAACCCAACTGGGCGGGAAACAAGTTCCGGCCTCTGCAGGCGACAAGCTTGTCATGCACTGTAAGCTACCCTGCGCTCGCACCCCGTTTGAAGCTAATCAAAAAACAATGCAGACAAGTACAACGATAGTACCGGCAAATATGACCAGACAGTGACCATCAACGGCGAGGTCGTCTCGAGCCTCTCAACTAGTAAGTTCATAATTCTTACTCCTTCGTAATCGCAATGACTGACACCGCGAAGGCTCTGGCCAGGCCCAAGGATGGGGTACTGCCGTTGAGGCCCAGGACAACGCCTCTAAGAGCACTGTTGCTGCACACCGTAAGTACTACCATATCTCGGCGTCTTCCTAAGGAAAGAGAACTAAACCGTTGTGCAGAGTACCTTGATACTACCATCATCCTCGATGCCGCTGACCTGACCTTCCGTGATACCCTCGGCCTCACCGATGCTGACTCCACTGGCTTGACGACCTCCGACAATGGCAAGACCTGGAAGGTGACTACCATCAACATTCATGAGCACTCTTTCTAAGACATGAAAGGGCGTTGTGTATATGTACCAAAGGACGTTTTCGTCCCTCCTATATATTCTCATTGTCGTTCTACCCTTGATATATTGTACATAGGATTGACGAAAGGTGTGGCTTTCCTTAAGACGAGGATAGAATTGTTTACTCCGACGTGATTTGCCTCAAATTATATTGCAAACAGGCTTATTCGGTTGACATGGGGAAGTCAGGTAAGGCAAAGCCTGCTTCTCGTATCATGTCAATACATACATCTAGAAAGCGAGTATCTCTATATATTCGTCTATGTTATTCGTAATAAACAGCATACCTTTTATCTTGCGCATCGTGATTGAAGAGCGAGCCTCGACTTGTTCTGTCTATCAACTGCAACTGGTAAGTCCTCATTATTTTCCTTGCATCCGCTTGATACGTTCTTCAGCTGCCCGTGCCCGACGCTCTCTTTCCAATCGCATCCTCATTTCTGGCGTCATGCCACGCATTTCTTCCTCCCTTTTCTCGGAAGCAGTCTTCTCTACAGATCCTAAGGCTCTGCCACCCGAGCGCTTTGCTTGTAAAGCTTCCTTGGCGGCATCTTCCATCTTCAAGCGATGTAATTCAGCTTTACGTCGGTTTTTCTCTTCTTCCTCTGCAGCTTTCTGCTCCCTTTCGGCCCTGCTGTCAACGTCGGCTTTTGAAATTGCCGATGGCACCTTGGCGGCCTCCCAGTTCCATTTCGACTCGCCAAGTTCGTGACGGGCAACGCGGAAGGCATCACGCGTGGCCCGGTCACCTGCGAGCTCAAAGGGTGTTCTCCCTTCACCATTGATGGTTGTCGGGTCTGCCTCCGCTTTATTAAGAAGGGCAGAAACCATCGCTGGCGAATTAAGGTTTGATGCGAGATGAAGAGCAGTAGGGCAACGGAAGTTCTGCTGAGAATCTGAGGGTTGGAATGTGAAGGAAGAGGGAATCGAGTTCTTAGAGAGATACGACATCAATGCCGGGATTTTAGAGCGACGGATGAGTGCCTGTATTTGGGTTGTATGAAGCATAGCAGCTTCGTCCTCCTTGGACACTTTTGGCTTTTGCTGTTGAGGCCGTGGAGTAGATGGCTTTGATTTTTCTTCTCGTTGTTTGGCCTCAGCTGCTGCAAGGGCAGCTTCATCAATCTGACTCACCTTTACGCGAGTCAGTTCCTTGAAGCATCTCATAAGTTCTCCTTGAGTAGCGCGGCGTGTGCTGAAGGGAAACCCTCTCAATCTAGGATCGTTCTGTCTCAGAACCTGACCATCATACTGACTGAACAAAATCCGCCGATTTGTACTGCCTGTGGCCCGAACAAAGAGCAATTGGGAATTATCGATCATATTCCTCCATTCCGATAACAATTCTCTAATCTCCTTCTCCAGCGCAGCCTCATTGTAACGTCTTAGGCTAGAACCAGCCGAATGTGCAGCTCCTCTAGCAGCATCGCTAGCAGATTGTGATCCTCCCTGTTTTCGCCTAGTTGTATAACGATGGAACGTTTTGTGCGCGATCACTCGAGCCTGCCTCTCGTCTACGCCGCCTTGCTTGCGATGAATCTCAGGAGCCAAGGAAACGATCATTGCCGCAAAGTGACCACCACCGATCATGCACAGGAATACATGTGGGCTATATGATGTGGAAGGCATTTGGTTCTGGCCATTATTCCGTGGTGCGTTGATGGGGGCTAGCTGTTTCTTCCGCAGAGAATCAACTAGATACCTAGGCTCTTCCTGTTCAGCATCAGAGAACAAAGCCCTATATACACCTAACGAAGTGTTGGACGGTAGCAGAGAGCTCGAAAGCCAGAATAAAGGATGCTTTCCGGTCCGCTTCTTCGATGGCGCATCCTCTTCTTCACCTGTTTGCGAAATTTTCGCTTGCCTTTTCAACAAGGCAGTAAGCTGCGTCCCGGCATCTTCATCCTCTTCCGATGACGACTCGGATCCAGAAATAGATTCGTCCAACTCCCCAACAGCCTTGTTGAACTGAACCTCGTCCAAGGTGGGATTCCCTCGAAGTTGGGCCTTAAGATTGTACCGATGGTGATCTGACCGGACGTGACCCCGCTGCTCTTGGACGTTCAGGAAAGACACATTGCAGAGAGCGCAAGAGGTAGATGTAGCAACCGCATATTCTTGTACAGTATCTTGGGGCTTCTCAGGTGTATTAATTGCATTGTCTGACGTATTTATCGCATCATCCTCGCTTTTGGCGCTTAACGTTGCGAGTAGTTGCTGCGGAAGATCATACACTAGATCTGGGAGTTAGTGACGGAATTGTATGCAAAACAGAAAGCGCAGCACGGAACGAAGTCAAAAGAAATACGGACCATATAGCGGCCTCTTTAGGAGCTCTTCCGCGATAGAAGCTTCCGTGGCCATATTGACTAAATTATGTACAAGCGATGAGTTGCGCCGATGAAATCGCGGAGTGCAATGCGATGGCAGAACAAATGCCCCTCTTGTTGGAGCTTTACCGCCTTTAAGGCACCGAATAAAGAATATTCAATGTACGTAGTACTCCATCTTGTATTAAATCTGCGACCATTGAAATGTGTGACGTAACGTTCGATCCACAGGTGTAATCTTGAGTCACAGTGACTCAGTCCACTCTACGGAGTAAGTATTTTAACGGCTCTATTATTGGCTCGCCGATTTTTATAGGCTACTGAAAGTATGCTAAACTCTCATGAATCCGCCTTGGCTCGTTTATGTTTACTCCTCGGCTGATGGATATAGCGATACAGTCTCTCTCTCGACATATTGTACTTATGTAACGCATAGTAACTAATCCGATCCATTCATAATAACATCACATTGTTCCTAGTCGAAAAAAATTCTTCAAGCATATATGCTTATTGTTGGATACAGTCGTTACACATGACCATTATCAGGTTCTGATAATATATACTTACTACCTAGAGCTCTTCAAGTCTTTGAATCTGGAAGACGATTTGGCGTGCTAGGAACTTATGAGTCTAGGTGACAGGAGCAGTCACAGCTTTCAACTTTTAAAATATGAATTATGTGTCATGAAAGAGACCTACCTTTATGCCTCTATATCACGGCCCTATCAATACTTTCGACAGAGCTACATCTCATATCGGACAACCGCAGGCTCAAAGCTATATTGGCGCCCTTAGTTGGATATCGGCAACCTAGTATTATTCAACTACGTTGCCCAAAAAAAAATAAATAAAAAAGAAAGAAAGAAAGAAAGAAAGAAAGAAAAGCAGAGTAAAATAAAGAGAAAGAGAGAGAGAGAGAGATTGTATGTAGACATCTTCAAAGCTTTTTTCCTGAACTAAGGGCATGTAAAGTATAATTGACTACAGAACTAATACGGAGTACTCAATATATATATATCCATATCCATATCCACTCATTGTCTATGTGAACCGACATCCTATGTGATTACTGCGACTCACCAATTGCCAGTTCACTTGAGGTTCATGCCCAGCTAAGTTATCTCATCAATATATTCTCCATCTTCTTATCAGCTCGATCATCACAGTCTAGACAATATAAATACTCGAGTCTTTGTTATGAATGTCATTGATGGATGTGGTAATTAATGCCGAGCACTGGCCGGGTTGATGGCGCTTTGCCGGTTCTGGCCTAGTCTGTCATCATGCTGCTAACTCCATAATCAATTTCCATTTGCAGCCTCTTCGTATTCGTTCATAGTCTAAGCAATTGCAATTTGTAAGCAAACCCATCTGTTTCGCACCCGGAAATGAATGGTTTACCCCCGGAAAAATTACTGGCCTGCAATTGGAATTCTAGAATGCTTGACTCAAAGGATTTTTGAGTCACCTCATGACGTACGGGAGGCTTTGAAGATGCCAAGACATGTAATGGCCCGGCTTATGTCATAAGCACCGAACGCAAATGTCACGCTTTGTGCCTCAGGATGAAGAGAAAGCAAGGAAACAGAGCCTTGAGATTGAAGGAGAGAAAATCTCTTTACGAATCCACTCCATTGACTAGACTGCAATGGTCATAGGAGGAGAAATAGTAAGGTAAGCTAGGCGAAATTCCGCATCTCCGGCAAAGTCCTATCGGTTTATCGCCGAAGCTTAGGCCGTCTCATTTAGTAAGCAGCTTGCAGCTCACAAGAGGATTGGCCTCGCAGTTATCATCCTCGATCAGAAAGTTCTCCCCACCCGTAATCGCGTCCATCATTTGCGTGAGAGCACCCTGGGAGTTTTTCTGACTCCCTCTTCCTTCCTTCTTGTGGGTTGAAAGGAATAGGGATCCTGCAGTCGGGGTTAGAAGATGCTTGAAGGCAACTCCCAGGCGATCCTCGGGGATTCTGCCCCGGGACCGTCAACCTTGAAGTCAGCATTGCAATCGCCTAAACTAGAGCCTTTCTGCGGCAATGTCGAAGGATGGGGACCCTTAAGCAAATTCAGGTTTGACCTGACGCCCTGCTTCCTAGACCTTGGGGTGGCTATTGTTGCAACATGGGGCTTAATCATGGGAGCAGGTGCCATTTGGTTTCTGCTCAAAAAGCGAATCCCCCAACCCGTGTCGAAGAATTGGCATTTTTACGCTAAACTGGTCGGTTTCGGGACCCTTTTGGATCAAGTTATCTGGGACTAACCTAACGTCTAAAATAGATCGTGCTATCCGCTCTGATATTCACAACGGCTCTTCAAGCAGCGATTCAAGTCGAGACTTTTGCGAATAACTGGTTGGCTGATGTTCGGTTTTGGAGTTCGATTGTTGTGTTTGCTTCTCTTTGTGTGATATTCGCAGTCCAGTACCACGAGCATTGGCGGAGTAGGCAACCTAACGGTGTCGTTCTCTTTTACTGGCTTTTCTTTACCATCGCCTATGGGATTAAGTTGCGCTCGCTTGTTGCACAAAAGACCTATGAGGACAACCTGCCATACTTCGTCTGCTTCAACATAAGCTTAGGGCTTGCGCTACTGGAATTTGGACTGGAATACCTCGTTCCCAAGAAGCAGAGCGCGTACGATGCCTTGGGCGACGAAGATGAATGTCCCTATGAGTATGCGGACATATTCTCGGTGCTCAGCTTCAGCTGGATGACACCAATGATGAAGTTTGGTTATAAGAACTTCCTGACCCAAGATGACCTGTGGAATCTACGACATCGTGATACCACTCGCGTCACTGGGGAGACCTTGGCGGAAAACTGGGAACAGGAGCTGCAAAAGGACAAACCATCTCTGTGGATTGCACTTTTCAAGTCTTTTGGTGGTTCATATACCAGAGGTGCGATCATTAAATGCGGCAGTGATATGCTTGCCTTTGTCCAGCCTCAGCTTCTTCGAGTTCTGATTGACTTCATCAGCTCGTATAGAACTGACAACCCCCAGCCAATCATACGGGGTGTTGCTATTGCCTTGGCGATGTTCTTTGTCTCGGTGTCGCAAACAATGTGCCTTCATCAATATTTCCAGAGGGCCTTTGACACTGGTATGCGCGTGAAGTCGTCGTTGACGGCAATGATCTATGCCAAGTCGCTTCGGCTTTCAAGCGAGGGCCGTACATCGAAGACTACCGGCGATATTGTGAACCATATGGCTGTCGACCAGCAGCGTTTATCTGATCTGACTCAATTTGGTACGCAGCTGTGGTCTGCGCCGTTCCAAATCACCCTCTGCATGCTATCGCTTTATCAGCTCGTCGGCGTGAGCATGTTCGCCGGTATCGGTGTCATGATTCTTATGATCCCATTGAATGGTGTCATAGCTCGGATGATGAAAAAGCTTCAGCTCGTCCAGATGAAGAACAAGGATTCGAGGTCGAGGCTGATGACTGAGATTTTGAACAACATCAAGAGCATCAAGCTTTATGCCTGGAACACTGCCTTTATGAATAAGCTTAGTCACATTCGTAACGACTTGGAATTGAATACCCTTCGCAAAATTGGAGCGACGCAGTCGGTTGCAAACTTTACATGGCAGTCTACTCCCTTCCTTGTCTCCTGTTCTACATTCACTGTTTATGCTTTGACGGACCCCCGGCCTCTGACTACTTCGGTGGTGTTCCCAGCTCTGACGCTTTTTAACCTACTTACCTTCCCGCTCTCCATTTTGCCTATGGTAATCACGTCAATCATTGAGGCTTCCGTGGCTGTTAAGCGGTTGACTGATTATTTCAGCGCCGAGGAACTACAAACCAATGCGGTCAAGCGCGAGGACCCAGTGTCTCATGTCGGGGATGAGTCTGTGCGGATTCGTGATGCGTCGTTCACCTGGAACAGGTACGATGGCACTCACGTCGTGGAGAACATCAACTTCAGTGCTCGTAAGGGTGAATTGAGCTGCATAGTAGGCCGTGTCGGCGCAGGCAAATCATCTCTTCTCCAGTCACTTTTAGGCGATTTGTGGAGAACGGAAGGAGAAGTCATTATCCGTGGCCGTATCGCATACGTTGCACAGTCACCTTGGGTGATGAACGCTAGTGTCCGAGAGAACATTGTCTTCGGGCATCGATGGGATCCTGACTTTTACGAGCTCACTGTTGAAGCTTGCGCCTTGCTGGATGATTTCAAGAACCTGCCGGATGGTGATCAAACCGAAGTTGGAGAAAGGGGTATCTCGCTCTCCGGCGGACAGAAGGCTCGGTTAACTTTGGCTAGAGCAGTCTACGCTCGTGCAGATATTTATCTTCTCGACGATGTTTTATCGGCAGTTGATCAGCATGTGGGTCGGCACCTTATCAACAAAGTCCTTGGGCCAAGTGGAATACTCGGCAGCAAGACTAGAATTCTTGCGACCAATGCCATTCCCGTTTTGAAGGAGGCGGATTTCATCGGATTGCTACGAGATAAGACTTTGGTTGAAAAGGGCACCTATGACCAGCTGCTGGCTATGAAAGGCGAAGTTGCTAATCTCATTCGTACTACTATGAACGACTCGGACGATGATAACTCGAGTGACAATGGCCTTGCCAGTCCCGAAAGCTCGGACTCTACTACGATAATCGATAACGCAGATTCTGATGAGCTTTCGGATACCGACGAAGCCGAACAGCAAATTGGTTCACTCCTTCCCATTAGATCTGGTGCCAACCGGAGAACAAGTACGGTGACTTTGCGACGCGCCAGCACCGTTAGTTGGAAAGGCCCTAGGCGCAAGCTAGGAGACGAGGAGAATATTTTGAAGAGCAAACAGACCCAGGAGACCTCACAGCAAGGTAAGGTCAAGTGGAGTGTATATGGGGAATATGCCAAGAACAGCAACATCGTCGCCGTCTGTTTTTACCTTGCTGCTCTGTTGGGTGCACAGACAGCCCAGGTCGCTGGCAGCTACTGGCTCAAGTACTGGTCAGAGGCTAGCGAAGTGCAAGTGAACCCTAATGTTGGCAAATTCATCGGCGTCTACCTAGCTTTTGGACTTGGATCTTCTATCCTAGTTATAGTCCAGAATCTTATTCTATGGATCTTCTGCTCAATTGAAGTACGTTTACCCTTAGCGCTCTGGCTAGTCCAGACCGTGTCCATACTAATGAACATTAACAGGCATCTCGAAAATTACACGAGAGAATGGCGTTCGCAATCTTCCGTTCTCCCATGAGCTTTTTCGAAACTACCCCGTCTGGAAGAATCCTCAACAGGTTTTCAAGGTGAGTGTGTGTGAGGTTGACATGTTATATACGGAAATTGATAGCTGTTGCTCTAGTGATGTATATCGTATTGATGAAGTCCTTGCGCGCACATTTAACATGGTAAGCCCTGCATCTTCTTAGAGGGAACTTCGAGCTAACTCAATTTTAGTTGTTTGGAAACTCAGCGAAGGCACTGTTTACGATGGGCGTTATCGCGTCGGCAACGCCTGCGTTCCTTATCTTGATTGTTCCTTTGGGCTACATCTATCTGAGTTATCAAAAGTACTATCTGCGGACTTCCCGAGAATTGAAGCGCTTGGACAGTGTTACACGCAGTCCCATCTATGCTCATTTCCAAGAATCTCTTGGAGGTATCTCGACTATCCGCGCGTATAAGCAGGAAAACCGATTTACGCTCGAAAATGAGTGGCGAATGGATGAAAACCTTCGCGCCTACTTCCCTTCCATTAGCGCGAATAGGTGGTTGGCAGTCCGCCTTGAATTCATTGGTTCGATCATTATTCTGGCCTCTGCGGTGCTTGCTATCATCGCAGTCGGCACTGGCACCCCTATCTCACCAGGCATGGTTGGTTTGGCCATGTCGTACGCCCTTCAAATTACACAGTCTCTGAACTGGATCGTTCGTCAAACGGTCGAGGTCGAGACGAACATCGTGTCCGTGGAACGTGTTCTGGAGTACGCTAACCTGCCAAGTGAGGCGCCTGAAGTGATATTCAAGCACCGTCCCGCCATTGGCTGGCCAGCGCAAGGCGCGGTGTCATTCAAAAACTACAGCACACGGTACCGTCCTGGGCTCGACCTTGTGCTTAAGGATATCAACCTTGATATCAAGCCTCACGAGAAGATTGGTGTCGTTGGCCGCACTGGTGCAGGAAAAAGTTCTCTTACTCTGGCGCTCTTTCGCATCATCGAGCCAGATGGTGGCAGCATTAGGTGAGTCCTGGTGCCCGACTGTTCATGCTGGTGCTGCGCTAACTTGATTGATAGCATTGATGGGCTAAATGTGTCTACTATTGGCCTGTTTGACTTGCGAGGCCGCCTTGCCATCATTCCTCAGGACCCGGCCATGTTTGAGGGTACCGTACGGGACAATCTGGACCCTCGTCATGTGCATGATGACACAGAGCTGTGGAGTGTGCTCGGTACGTTGGGCTCACCTCTTTGCATGTGGAGAAAGTGAATGACTGACTAACCCGTTAACTCGCAGAACACGCACGACTGAAAGATCACGTTGCAAGCATGGATGGCCAGCTGGATGCCCGAATTCAAGAAGGAGGTAAGAATTTGGCCGCTTTTCGCGCTTGCAGCAGCGTGACGTTGGACTTCCTAGGGCTGGACTAACATGGCACAATAGGATCCAATTTGAGTCAAGGCCAGCGTCAGCTGGTGTCTCTAGCACGGGCATTGTTGACGCCTAGCAATATTTTGGTTCTCGATGAAGCGACAGTAAGTGGCCAGTTTGCCACACCGTTTTTTCCCCTCTACCGCCTTTTCCTTCCAATTTACTTTTTTAGTATTTACTAACGGTTGACTTTAGGCGGCCGTGGATGTGGAAACAGATGCATTACTGCAACGCACCTTGCGCAGTAGTATCTTCCAGGATCGCACTATTATCACTATCGCCCATCGCATCAACACGATCATCGATTCTGACCGAATTGTTGTGTTGGACAAGGGCAGAGTGGCCGAATTTGACACACCTGCCAATCTGATTAAGTCTGGCGGGAAATTCTACGAGCTAGTCAAGGAAGCAGGTCTGCTTGATAACGAAGGACTTGCCCTTGTGCAATAATTGCAGACCTCTCGTACAGAGTGGCGAAGACCTGTGAGTGGCTGGGCCAAAGCGAGAGAGCCTTCTCTATAATCTCGGGCCGATCTCTCGAATCTGGACCTCGTAGGAGACCAGGTGAGAAAGAGGATGACCGCATCTTGGCTGAACTCGCATACACCACCAACACTAGGCGATCCATTAAGCGTCTGTGCGCACGGGAGAGGGGTTGATGAAGGATCAAGGGCCCTTTCCCTCTATTATACGAGCTCGGCAAGATCACAGAGAGCCGATCCGTTCCCAGCTTTTCTCTTTTTAGACGAGGAACCAAAAGTACGGGTCGATGATCGCTTCGTACCCATGGCGTCGGAAGGAGTTTAATTAATTAATTGTCTGGTTGCCTTTTTTCACTTTCGATGTCTACCTATATTGAAAAAGTCCTGTATCTACTGCACATAGCCAATAATGATTGAAATTGCGTGCGAATTCGCGTGCCATTTATTTCCACTCGAATCAAGTAGAAGCAGAAGAAACAAAAAACGATGTGTCAACAATAGCGGTGTAGGGGATCCCCTGTAAGCCAATGCAGCAATTATCTGCATACCTTCAACCATTGAAATGGATGCCACTGCAGCAACTAGGAAGTAGTCGGAACCACCCGATTTTGATTAGAAATCCCAATTCTCCCAAACGGGCAAGAGAAATGACACCTAATTATCCATATGCCTCTATCATCATCTCTTCCTTATCAGGCTCAATGTAGAAAAAAACAGAGGTTAATACACAACACCAAGAAACCAGCCACCATCCAGAACCCAACAACTTACAACCCCGCAGAAAACACACACACGCACACACGCACACACGCACACACGCACACCCACACACTCTTTTTGGGTTATAAAAAATGTCAAAAAGGCAAACAGAAAAGAAAAAGAAAAAGGAAAAGGAAAAGCAAAGAAGGTGCAATTTGATATCTCTCCCCCACTATTGGCCGCGAATTTTAACTTCCAATGATCTAATCACCTGCCAGCCATGCGCACAGTTACTTAAACGAACAAAAGAAAAAGAAAAAAAAAAAAATTTCTATAGATAGTATACGTAGGATTTCTCTAACCCTGAATATTCCGGACTGCCACCACAACTGCAGTACAATTGTTTACCTAATGTTT